AACTTCTCATACCTCATCAATGAAAGATATAGTACCATTGACTGGTACTACACCGATCTGTTCACTCTGAAGAGAAGGGTGTGCTCTGATGCGAAGCCCAGCACTCTTTTTAGCCACAAATTTGCGAAGCCTACTGGGCTGATTGGGTTGTTTCCGTACTGTGCTTTGTTTCGGTGGAATAAGGCCCTGGGGGGTCTCTTTGACTTCGACCTTATGCATCTAAAAAAACAAAGTTCCATCATCAACCATTCAAGGAGAGAGTAATTGTTAAAATGACAGAAAACGCCTTATAACGTACCTCATCCATGTTGTACCCGTCAATGGTAATGACTAGAGAGTACCAGCCCACACTTGCGGGGGTCCATGTGACGCTGTAAGTACCATTTCCATGGGGTCTGACCAGCATTGTCTCACTGGAGCGTTTCACTGCCGGTGAAATGTAGCGAAGCTCTTCGAAAGAATAGTTCTCGTAAGCCTTCATCATGGTGATAGCGTGGCAGTACGTCTTGTCCTTGATGGTGATCTCGTAGGGTACGTCCAGGGACGGGTACGGCTGGCCTCCGAAAGTGTGCTCGTCCGGCTCGCTGACGCGACGGACCTTCCTGGTGTACTCGTCGCCCGCGTCCCTCTTGTCGATGGGGAGTGCTTTGGCGTCCACCTGGGAATTAAAATAAAATTAAACATCACAATCGACAGTTACCTAATATAAGGTATGACAGGACCAGGTGATGTGCGAGGAACTCACCTTGAGGTAGGGCACGTGCACGACGTCGCCATACTGGTCCCGGGTGACGACAGTCAGGACGGCGGGCCAGCCCTGGCGCAGGTCCTCCTTGGCGTAGAGCAGCGAGCACCGCGCCGTGTCCACGTAGGGGTCGGGCTGCAGCCAGCGCGCCAGGCGGCCTCCGCTGGTCCCGGACACGCACTGCACCAGGTCGCGCAGGAACTGGCGCTCGTTGGAGTGGCAGCTGCAACAGAAGAGGGTTCGGGACGATCAGCGCCCGCCGGGTAGGCAACCTATTCGACACCAGGCTGACTCCGACGACGTCGGAATAGAGTCCTAGAGTGGGCTCTATGAGACTTTAGGTCGGGGGGACTCTTGTTGAAGTGGCAACTAGCTGCAGCAGGGTTTGGGACGGTCAGCGCCCGCCGCGCAGGCAACCCATTCGACACGAGGCCGACTCCCCCACAGACAAGGTCGGGGCGATCTTTATGACCCCATTGGCCTGCACCACGCTGCGCCACGGCGCGGTATGCAGCAGGATGCACCATTGGTATGGATTGGGCATGAGCGGGTGAGGGGGAGGGGGAGGGAAGGGAATACATACTCTTCGTTTCCGCTGTGCCCACCCCCATCCCGCCCCACCCTGCTGCTCCTAGTCGGAAACGGTTTTGAGGGGAGAAGCTGTTGCAGCAGTAGGGAAATTACAGAGCGGATTGTAACTAATTGGGTAATTGACAGAGCCTCCCCTCCTCCGGGCCGCAGGCCGGCGGCCCCCCCTCGCTCTGCTGCTGCGCGGCCCACATCTGATGACGCACCGTGTCTCCGCTGCGTTCCCACAGCGTCATCACTCCACTTTACCTTCCCCCGTCCCATCCCGTCGTCCCGCGACCAGCAGCCGCGACCCTGACATCGAAAAAACCAAACCGCCGCCGCCGCCGCGCACCGTCCGAAATCGAGCCGCGCCGCGAGGCTGCAGCCTGCCATCGCTGATAAGCTGGGCGGGGACTTGAACGCACAAGCGAGGTGCGGTGCGCGGAGAGGGAAGGAGGGGTGGCCTCGCGGGTAAAAATAGAAGGGTGACGACGGCGAGGTGAGTGAGGTACGGACGTTTACAGCGAACCCCCTTCATGCTGGCGCTGACGTTAAACAGGGCTGCTGCCGGCCGATGCCGGTCGTGTTTGGCTGAGCGAAACAGAGCAGTGCGCCCGCCATGTGCGCATGTGAGTGTGTGTGTGTGCGCGCGCGCGTTTGCGTGCGGGTAGTGTTGGTGGCTGCGGTCATTCCCCGAACGCGTCTGGGCCTTACTCAAAGGCGGGGGCGCCGCCCGCGCCCGGTGCACGCCTCTCTACGCCTCAATGGACGGGGGAGGGAGGGCGGGAGGGAGGAGTAAGAGATGGGCCGGATACTCGAGTTTCACGCACAGCCAGCCGTGGAGCTCCCCCAAGCTGGTGCGCCTCTCTCCCCACGCAGCTTCTGCAACAAGTGCACGGGACGGGGCCGCATCACCTGGGCGTTGAGGGGCTTCCTCCACTTTGGGACCCCTTTGGCCCTCGTGTGCTCTGCACAGATTAGAAGCCCTGCCTCACCAAAAGACTTGGCCTCACCGCGCCACGCCAACCGGGGCAGGCCGGCGATTCATACGGCACGCATAGGACTTGGCTCGCATTCAGGGCGGCGCAGCAGCAGGCAGGACGCGCAGGACGCGCGGCCCGCTGCTGGCAAGGACGCCGCCCACCGCCCACCATTCAGCTTCCGCCGATGGGGACGTCCAACAAGTGCGCCGTCGTCGTGGCGCTGACATGCCATCGCGTCCGTCGCGTCCGTCGCGTCGTCGGGCGGCGTCGCCCCCTGCTGGCGTGATTGGGAGGTGTGTTTGGGTTGGGATCGGAGGCGAGAAGAATAAAGAAGATGGAGGGGAGGGGGAGGCCGCCCCCCTCTTTCTATACACGGCCGCCCCCCTCACCCC